AAACAAGACAAACAAAGAAAATAAGAAGAAATACGGCGCTGTCGCGGTTCGAACAAACCAGACTCTGACCCCTCCATAACACACACCTTATGACCACTGTGCTACGTAGCCTGTCGACATAAGATTTTTATAAATTGCATATTTGACGTAAATTTATTTCCATCTAGCTTCCCGCACCGCATAAGATATTCATACGTGTTTGTAAGACATTCATTAAACTTCTTTCTATTGCATCTAATCTTGCGTTATTTTTTTCATAGCTTGTCTGTATTCTCCATCTCTCCGCATGTTTGGTCTTCACGTTAAATAGTTCATTGTTACGCAATTTTTTTATCTACAAATTTTATTAGTGTTTGATTCACTTCGTTATGATAACGGTCATATTCTTTCAATACAGTAAGTGAAGACAAAATGCGTCGTACCTTCATCTTAAAGCTTAAAGAACTTTCAACAGTTTTGGAGGGTCTGTCAGTGCGTCAATGAGATAGTATTCGAAGTCAGTCAATAATCTTTTTAAAGTCATTTTCATACAGGATAAAATAATGTTGTGAAGAAATATGTTTATCTCAGAAAAAATAACGCTAATTTTAATTTGTTATTTATTTTTTTTTTTGTATGTAAAGACATAATTGACAACATCAGAGAACACAACAACAGTATATACGTCCATGAAGCAATAAATGTAAGAATACGAGTACATACAATATAACAAACAGTTAACGTCCTCATTCGTTCAGTCAAAGATGACATGTACAAATGCACAAGTATTTGACAGCATGTTATTGCTCCAGATACTAAACTTCCTAAAGACTGGTTTAGGAACCAAAGCACTATGAACTATTAAATGAAGGCACAGCGAGACATACTTTTTTCTGAAAACAGTGAAGAACAAGCGAGTAGGTAAAAAACCCCAGTCGCCAAAACTCTATGAAAATCGTGAAAAATTGCAAACGGTTTGAGGAGGATATTGATTTCAATGAGACTTCTCGTAAATGTTGTAGCAATGTGGGCTTCACCTCGTTATGCTTGGTATGTTTGTAACTCTTTGACGTAAATTCACAGACAAGAACGCGAACGAGATGAAAAGAAACTTCAAGCAAAAGATGAAGTCATTGAATCCAAAGACAAAAGCATACAGAAAAGATACCACCGTTCAAGTACCAAAAGGAAAGGAAAAGAGTTATAAGTATATGATTACGCTGAAGAGATGAAAATGAAAAGACAGCAGATATGTTATTTTGCATTTAGTCAGAAGAAACAACAAAGCTTTATGACGCTTGGCTAAGATTTACAAAATCTGACAGAATGGTCTATCGTGAAAACTTACCGATTTCAAATGACACCGAATGAGGCAAATTAAAGGAAATTGTCAAAAATACTCTTCCTCAAACACACTATGACATCAAAGGTTGCACAATCTTACATTCAAAGAAGACTTACCATTGTTAAAGGAAAAAATAACAGAGTATTTCGATAAACTTCAAAGAGGAAGAATGAAAATCTAAAGCTAATTTTTATTTTTTTTATAAAATTTTTATCTCATATGAAAAGAACATGAATTTAGAAATATTCGGAACTCATGACAGAAGAGGAGAACGAACAGCATGTAAAAGATTATGCAAAATTTATGAAGACATACAAAGCATTTAAACAATATCTAAATGCTTCTAAAGATTATGCAAAATTTTCTGAAGGTATATAAAGCTTATGAAAAAGCGTATGAAAAGTTTATACATTGGGGAATTGTTGTAAAATATCCATATGAAGACTAACCAAAAATATATTTTTGCTTAAATAGCTTCAGGGTCAATTTCTTCTCAACCATTTCACTTCCTTCGTCAATGTCAATTGAAGCTTCTTCAACCTTTGTAAGAAATTTCTGTATAACATCTTTGTTCGTTATTGTCTTCAGAGATAAGGATAATTATTTCACATTTGTTTCACCCTTCTTATATTCTTTTCTGTTCGAGAAGATTCATAGCAATACTGAAGAAGTCAATGTTAGAGTTCTTTATGACAGTATAATGAGTATCTTTGACATTCACGAAGAAACTCTTTGTTTCAAACTACTGCTAACTCTTGTGAAGTATAACGTTTGCGGTCAATGACGATAGCTAATGGTCTGACATACTGACCAAACTTAGATTCTTTTCACAAACTTCTTGTTAAAGATAATATTAACATTTGAAGCAAAT